CAGTGACCAAATGTTTCCAGGGCAGATTACAGTTTCCTGTATTATTATTCTCTCTGATTTTCAGTCACTAGGAAATTCCACTGCTGCTTGGCAATGCAAAGAATTCCTAATCACCCGATATTTTGGCATGTTTTAATTGTCTTTCACTTCTGAATTTTGAAGCTTGCTCCTATATTTGAAACTATTCAGTGCCACCAAGTTGTTCATACTAAAAATTGGATATTCCAATAGCATACTGCCATGTGTCTATGCCATGATGCTGAGGTATTCCTTTTGTTGAAGTCTCACAATTACTTTTGGAATTGGCTGCAGGATTCATGATTCCAAAGGCAAAAAAAAAAAAAAAAAAAAAAAAAAAGGGACAGGGCAGGGGAGCAGATGAGGTCTGAGTGCCACAGTGGACTCAGAGCCCCGGGGTCAGAGCACCCTCCTAGCCTCCTGGCAGCAGTGCCCTGGCCGGACCAACAGGACCCGGTCCTTCTGCTGCCTGCGTGCAGTGAGCTCTAGGGACTGTGGTCAAGTTCACCAAGCCCTGGCCAGAAGAAAGTATTTAACCATAAAGTGACCACAAGCTGCATTGCTCTGTTTTCTTGTTTTGATTTCAACAGTTTCTTTGCTATGAGAAAATGCTTCTTTGGGATAATGAGTCTGAAGCTGACTGTGCCATGCCTGGGCCTATGAAATGCATTTTGGCCTGGCTTCCCATCTCCTAAACACATCCAGGCATGTGGGCTGTTTTGGAGGGGAGAATGGGTTCTTTTTGGCATCTAACCCCACCCATGTCCAAATACCTTGCACTGCTGGAAGTATTTTTAACCAAGCTTTTCTCATGAAGATTTCATCTATTTGCTTATATTTTTACCTACTAATGGTATAAAGTTTTGAATAAATGAGCAACTTTCAAATGGTAAAAAATGATCTTTGGGCAAACAAACCAAAAGTTGAAAAATCTTAAATATTTTTTTCCCAATTTTAGCATAAAAACCATTGTTAGAAAAAAAAAGCAGCTTCCCAACGTCTAGGAGTCATGCAGCCATGATGTTCCATGTTTACATCCCTACGTGTCAGCCAGTTTTCTTGAAGCTCCACTGATTGTCCAGCTGTCCACTGTATTTTCTGATTGTTGTCAAATTTAATTAGAAAATGTTCTTTCCAATTTTTCTGCAAGTTCAGTCTCTGAAATGGGGATGTTGGTGACAGCAGTGGAATTCTTATACAAAATAGCATACACATGCAAGCTACGTATATTGATCTTTATTTTTCGCATTTTATTCTATTAAAATAAGTTCAAGATATAATTTTAAAAATGTATAAGCTAAGGAATTTCTTTTCCTTTCCTGGCCTTCTTTAACTGTATTACATATGGGGAGTGTCCCCCCAAGAGAGATTGTGGGTTGGTTGTGAGTTTGGTTAGCCAACATCATCACCTTCGACACAACTGGCGCTCTGCTCACCTGCCTGTGGGGGGCAGCAGCATAGATGCCACACGGAGTTAAGAGCCACTGCTGATGAAACACATGACCAGGCACCAGGTTTATCCCAACTCCTGGCTCCTTCTCTCCATGTTCCCCTGCCTCCCTCCTTCTCCCTCCCTCTCTGTCTTACACACACACACACACACACACACACACACGCACGCACACACCCCTCACTCTTCAGCAGGGCCATGATGAGTCAGCTCTAGGGACAGACAGGTGCGCTGCTCTCATTTCCAGCACTGGTGGCAGCAGCAGTGAGGGGAGCTGCGGGCAGCTTAGGAACACCTGTGTCTTAGGAATACCTGTGTCTTAGGAATACCTGTGTCTTAGGAATACGTGTGTCTTAGGAACACCTGTGTGACTGGGGCTTAGGGTTGCTAAACCAGCTGTCCTACTCCAAACTAACAGTATCCTCTCTCCACTCTCTTCCTGGGAAGGCCCCCTTCCATCCTCCCCCAAAATACAGGGAAGATGGGTGCCCCCCATCAACAACAAGATGGATACCCCCCCCACCAACGTGCCCATCTCCAGGGAGTCCCAGATGCCACAACGACTCAGGGCATCTGACTGGGGCACTTAGGACTTCTGAGGAGTACAGAGGCCAAAATTCCTCTTCCCAGTGACTGGGGGCTCCTTGTGCTTCACAAAGATACCATGTCTAAGAACGAACCGGGTGGGGTAGGTTTCAATTTACACAAGCTGCTGTTCAGGAGCTCTGAACACAGGCGCAGCTTTGGCCCATACTGTGGGTTTGGAGGGGAAAGAGACCAAAACAGGTGTGCCCTTTCACGAGCCTGTGTGAGCATCAGTGTGGATGGGGTGAAACAAACCTAGACCCTCAGGGAACTCCTGGGTGCTGGGCACCGCTCCTGTGGTCAGTGATGACGGGGCCCTGGGGAGTTGCCTTGTCCTACAGGGAGCTCATCAAGGACCTGAGCTGAGTGACAGGGGAGGGAGCTGGTATCCCAAGGGCGTTTTCTGCCCAGGCAGCCCTTCTCCCTCCCACCACCGGCAGTTTCAGCCCTTAGCAAGACCTTCCTTACACAGGACCCAATCCCAAAAGTCTCAGATCCCCTCACTGCAGGCTCCTGGCCCACCTGGACCCCACCACTGTGGCTGCTCCTGAGCTCTGTCCTCCAGCCCCGGCAGCAGCCTCCCTGAAGCAGGAGGGAAGGCCCTGAGCCAGGTGACCCAAGCTGGGTGGAGGTGGAAAGGGCCCCCACCCCCGGGCCGCTCTGGCAGCCCACCTTCCTCCCACCCGCTCTAAGGCTCTTTGGAGTCAGCCAGCCTGCTTGGGAAACGCTGGAGCTGAGCGCCAACCGCGCCGCCCCTTCAAGGCAAATCCCTGGAGAGCACAGATTCTGGAGGCCCAGGAGGGATCGACTTAGAGGCAGAGCAGGGAAGCTCTGAAGGTCGCCTGGCTGAGGGGTGCACAGCAGACGGCCACCCACCCCGAGGCCCAAGAGCTGCTCAGCCCAGCTCCCTGCTGGCCAAGCCGCCCCCGGCTCTGCGCGTCCTCCCAGGGCACCCAGGTCTTCGGCGCCAACACGTGGGGCTGTCACCAGGGGAAACCGGAGGCCTGAGCTCAGCACCTTTGGACACCGCACCCGGCTAGCCTCCAGCGTCCCTTCAAACTTCGGTCCCTTCCCGGCTGTAGAGGAGGTGACTGACGCGGAAGCCAGTGGCCGCGGTCTGGTGGCCAGGGGCGAAGCCAGGCGAGGGGCTAAGGGTCTGGGAAGCGTGGACGGCCACCGTCGGAGGCGGCCTCCCGAAAGAAAAGTCGCCCGCCAGGCCCCCGGGGAAGGTGCCAAGGCCGC